TACTTGTCCCAGCTTCTGCCAACCTAGTGGTTCGAAAGCACGTAAAAATGCAAGTAGAAAAATAGGGACCACCTTTGGTGGGAAGGTAACAGCTTCCCGTGTGCCTTCGGCATTTAGTCATGGTGGCGACATGACCATGGAGACATCTTCCGACAGCGCTGGCTCTTTGGCGTTGAAACGGAGATGAGCACTGCCCCCTAGAGTCAGGACCGACTAGCACATATGTGCGAGGGGAACCTTTATCTTTACCTTTACTAATTTAAACCAGCAGTTTGCTCCATCAGTATCTTAACTTTTTAGGTTGCCTTTATTATAATGCCTTTTTTTAACTGTGTTTCCTTGCCAGTGCTAAACAGGTGTTGTACTCACCTGAAGGTAAAAGTGAAACCCAGCAAAACTTGACTTGGTTTGAATTCCTGTCTAATGAGTAAGTTACCTCTGTATCTATGTGCATAATATTACATTTTTGTCCCCAAAAGGGGTAGTGTTGAATATACAGCTAGTCCTTGACTTATAACCGTAATTGAGCCTGGTATTATGATCATAAGCCATTGTGGTCATAAGTCAAGGCATATCACATGACCAGACCCATTTTGGGGGGGACAGTTTTTGTGGCGATTATTATGCCAATAATGCAGTCGTTAAATGAATCCATTTTCTTTAATGGGTGTTTTCTGGAAATCAGAAATAAATGTCAGAAACCAACAAAAAAAGGTGGTAAACCAGGGTCACATGACCACAGGACATTGCAAAGTCTCATAAAGATGAGCTGGTTGCTAAGTGCTCCAAATGCAATTACAAGAACATGGGGGGTGGGGGGAGAGGTTGCGGCCATCATAACTTCAAAAACGGGGTGTAAGTAGTTCTGGGGATGTCTGGTGCAACTTCAAATGGTTGTTAAGCAACCAGTCATACATTGAGGATTATTTGTACAATGATAGTGCTCATGGAAATATGGGATCCGTTCTGTATCTTTGCATTTCTTCAGTGTAGGATTGAGAAGATTGTATAGTGGTTAAAAGGGTGAAGTAGAAATCAAGAGACTATGAGTTCTAGTCCCACCTTAGCCACGAAAGCCAGCTGGATAACTTTGGGCCAGTCACTCTCTCTCAACCCAATCCACCTCACAGGGTTGTTGTAAGCCAGGAAGAAGCAGCACAGTGTATGCTCACCACCTTGAGTTATTTATAAACATAATAAAGATGGGGTATGTCAGGCTCAGCAGCTCTGCTGGTTGCCTACTTTATAATTTTGGCACCAAGAAAAAACTTATTTTCTAAGGCCTTTGTTAGATGTTTTAGCTTCAGACTGGATGAGATATTTAGCACTCCTTATTTATCAATTTGGTTTTCTCTGCCTGTCATTTCTATTGGTTAAAATATAGCATATTTATATTTTGTTAACTATTTTGGAAGCTTTTTGAATGGAAGACATAAGAAATTAAGTCATCTAAAATAGATTCCCTCTAGCTAAATTTATTGATTTCCCTCTTTTCATCCTTGCCTACTTATGTACAATAGGTGTGACGAGAGTCCAAGGAATGACAAAACTGAAAAGGGCACAAAGGTGAAGCGCCGACTGAGCAATCTGCGCAACCGTGTCACTGGCTCATGGCAGAAGGAGAAGGTGAGAGGGCTGTCTGTAAACCACTTGACACAATGAAACCTACGGTTTTATATCAGAAGTTTATAATGAAGGTGTCATAAGAAAGAAGAATTAAGCAGGAATAATGCCTCAAAGGTGGAGCCCCTGTTTTCTTTACAGCATGTCTCAGATTCAATCCCTTAATTTGCATTAAAACAATCAAATAAAAAGCGTAGAAAAATCTCTTTGCTAGAGAGATCAAAGAGAAAAATATAAATATTCTTAAAATAATGTTCCAAGAACTGAATTGGAAAGGAATATATTGTGAATGGACTTTTGATAATATTTAGTTGTACAAAATCTTGACATTATGGCATTTTCTGTTCCCTTAGGGTAAGAATAAAGATCGGGAGAAGGAGGCTGTGGAGGCAAAGGAACGAACACAGGCACTGCATGGGCATGAACTAGCACTAGGCGCCTTCTCTAATGGCACCTGTTGCTCTCTCTGTGGCAAAATCCTGCTGAACAAAACGGGGCTACAATGCCTGAGTGAGTAGCTCCCTCCTGGGTCGCAGTGTGAGAATCTGTTTATCTCCTGGCTAGCTTGGTTTTACATTGTCCACTAAGAGAGTTTCTGAGTTCTGTTTTCTTCCTCCTCCACTGCACTATCTCAGATGTCATCCCATCTCTGTACAGGTAGTCCTCGACATATGACTACAATTTCTGTTGTTAAGTGAGGCATTTGTTAAGTGAGTTGTGCCCCATTTTACGACCTTGCTTGTCACAACTGTAAAATGAATCACTGCAGTTGATATGTTAGTAACCTGGTTGTTAAGTGAATCTGCTTCCCTATTGACTTTGCTTGTCAGAAGGTTGCAAAAGGGGATCATATGACTCTGGGACACAGCAACAGTCATAAGTATGAACCAGTTGCCAAGCATCTGAATTTTTAACACATGATCATGGGGATGCTTCAAAGTAACTGAAAAACAGTAATAAGTCATTTTCCCCCGGTATCATTGTAACTTTGAACAGTCACTAAATGAACTGTTATAAGTCGAGGACTATCTGTACGTAAGGTGGCCACTTCCTATTCTGACATTGCTCTATACGGAAAGCATTTTTAGTATTCAATACACAGTTTTTGGTTATGTGCATGCTTTGTTCATCTGCAGGAAAACTTGTACTATATTCTTTAACTTATGTTGTTGACTAAATGTTGGTATATTATGCTAAATGCCTTTTCTATTATCTATGCTTCAGTCCTAACTGTGGGGTACCACTGAACACTTCCTGAATGGTTGATTCTCTGATACAAATGATCACAGACTCTTTAAATACAATTCTACTGCAGGCAATGCATAACAACTAGTAAAACCTTTTGAATTTATTTTAAATAATGTTCTAGTCAGCTACAATAATATATCATAGTATTTCCTTTTAATTTTGCTTTGTTTTCTGTTTAGGCTTCAAATAATGTAGACAAGAAAGTTAAAAGATAATAATTACATGTAAAAGTGCATGCAAATCCGATGTTGAGAAACACTTTCTGCATGAAAATCAGACTGCAACATCATTAACTATGATGAATAAAAATAATAGATGATTAATATGGTAACCACAAGGCAGTAGTCTCTTAGTGAATTAGAGTAGCATACTGCAGTAGCAAAAGTATAATTGCCTCCATTACATAAAGCAACAGAAACAGCTAAGTCATTTTAAAGATTAGCAAGTTTTGCTGGAAATTATGTTCTTTATTATTACACATACACACTATCTCAAGTAAATAATGGCTAGTTTTGCAGCCCCAAAACCGTAATTTTACATTTATATTTTTACACATTCGTTGTTTTACTTTTTTTAGTACTATTCTTTATATTAGTTTAAATTTCCTTCTTTCCAGCGAAGATTCTCATCAGACCCCCACAAAGCCATTAAGCTCTTTCCCTATCCTCTTGGGCAAATTGTTGTCATGCTTTGCTCCTCGAAAATCTCATGTGATGGAAATTGGAGAGCTAAAAAAAGATCTGAAAGGAGACATTAAATCATATGTACATGTATTTCGTTGCCTTGGCTACCAAGAAAAAAATAGTTTTTTCTTCTAAAGGTGCCCGACTTTAAAAAACACGAATGACTGGTGGATACTTAAAATCCTTAAAATAAATGCTTAGCCTTTAATGATAAATTTCACGGATATAGAATTATCATCTTAGCCACAAGGGTGGGAAAAAACCCACAAAACTAGGCAGACGCGGTTACCAAGGCAACCAGCTTTTAGACGAGACGGGTAGGGAACCGCTATCTCGCGAGACTTCGCAGTTCCGCGAGAGGACGACCTCAGAGACTCTTTGATTTTGGAGTTCGCCTGAAGGGGCGGGGCTGGGAGCTGAGCCAGAAGGCGGGGAGTTTAAAAAGCCTCGTTTGAGATCCCGCGAGATCTTTTAGGCAGTGGGCGGAGCCAGCAGGTAACTTTTCTACCTTGTACATCGCGGGATTTGGCGTTCTCACGCCGCCCGAGATGTCCCGTAAGGCTGCTCTTCTTGTTTCACCTCAGCAACAACCTTCCCGTCCCCATTCTCCCTTCGAAGGCCTGGGTTGAGGCCGGGGTACACGTCTGAGTTGAGTGGAGAATTGGAATCCCGCGGGGCTTTAGCGGGTCTCGCGATATGCCTGGCTGATTCTCCGGGGGCGGGGCCAAAGAGGAAGTGCCTCAGAGAGGAGGCGAGGCCGAGCCGGGCCTTTTGGGGGAAATAGGAGAAGGACTTTCCCATCTGCCGCCGAAGGACAACAGTCTGACAGGGTAGGCTGGTCCAGAGAGGAGGCGAGACGACATTTGATGACGTCAGAGGTCAGTATCAACCACCCTTGACCCCCACTCAACTGTTTGGATAGATGGAGGGAGGCTCTCGCTGAGACCTTAGGAACCTGGCACTTCTTTATACCTGGGAATGTGTGGGTATGTATATGTGTGTCTGTCTGTGTGTGTGTGTATATGTATATGTATGTATGTATATGTATGTATATGTATGTATGTATATGTATGTATGTATATGTATGTATACATACACA